GCCCAACCACGTGAAGGGTGGAAGAGAGCCAGAGGCGGTCAAACAATGACTTGTCATTGAGGTATAAAAGTCATTACCAGCAAACTCAGCTGCGCTGGTCACTGTCGTCTTCCTGGATGCGGACCCCGAGACGGGCCACAGTGATGGTTGGAGACATTGTCAGACATGGCCCAGTCACGCTCTCAACGGCGCTCGTACATCCAAGCTATTGCATTCAACGCATAGCTTTCTTCCCGATTCCTTCACTTGAGAGTCCACTGACAGTGCTGTATTTACCCACGAATCTATCAGCTACCGCATCCAATGCGCAGCTACCTACCCCACCTCCCCAAATTATCGGTGAACGAAACTGTGGGAGCTACAACCACTGTACGACAAGTACGCGGTTCTTACAGCTGACAATGATGATGATACATTCTGATTTATATATGACAACAAACGAGTTCCAAATCAATGCATCCCTACTGCACCAAATCGAGGCTGCTTATACAGTCGGACTGCTTTCGGATGTTATATTTCAGGAAAATTGGAAGTCGGACAATCTTATGCGATGATTCGAATTCCGAGAGAGCGACTTTATTGAACTTCCTCTACTGGGAACACTCATATAACAGAACATTTGATAAAAAATGAAGCGGTGTAAATGGCACAACACGCTTGATGTAACAGGCTACTCAACAACCTTACAAGTAGTGTGTTCATTAGGAAAATATACTGCCGCTTGTGAACGTTAATTCTACGGATCGCGCAAACTACAACTAATCGAAAAATTTTCGGCAGCTTTCAAGCTCCCGTGGCGCTAACTGACTATAAAGTCTTCTTAGGGTCAGTCGATCGACAGTTACGGAGTCGATATCAGAGCTGCCCTTCAAACAATCATCCCTCTCAAGCGTGAACAACTCCACTTCTTGAAATATATTTGCCCGGAAACGTGACGTGAGAGTTCATAGAAAGTTTGTAGGCCAGATCGGAACTCCTAGTATTCTCAGTGCGACCATACTCTTCAAAACCTTCTCCCATTTGCACAGGACTCGGTTTTGAAATGATGCTCTATTAGGAGAACCAGCTCCAAACGTAACGGGACTATATAACTGCTAATCGAATGACCGTTTCTCGTTGAGACAGATTTCATTGGTTGTTCTTCACATGCCCTTGACAGTGATCAATAGATCAGCTGATTTGCGCGTTCATTGACTTCTCTGGTTTAGCTAAGCGTATTAGGCTATCAAGCGGCTATCCAGTCCAGACTCAGGTTCACGGTAAAAATAAGGGACTGTGGTCCACAACAGGGTCAACAGATCCCCCGTCCATAATGGTCCGCTTCAACTGCATGTGCTGTACCAGGCCACCTCATACCTTAGTTGGTACGAAATTTTTGACATCACAACACGTTATCTAAACGTAACACATTATTCATGGGTTTGCTGGAAACTCTTCAGAAGGTCGCAACCAGTTCCGTCCTTCTTGGGGCTCATCAGTTGTACGTAGTGCCAGAGTTTCCGTCAAGTGAGGGGTTTGTCGAACCTTGTCCAGTGTGGGTTCAAGTAGAACATAAGGTTGAAGGGAACTCGGGGACTGCGTCTATACGATGAGCCCCAAGAAGGGTGGAACCAATCGTGGGCTGTGGAAGAGTTTTAAGCAAACCCATGAGTAGTGTGCTACGTCCAATCCATTTCGCGCAATGCCTGGTGCACCCATTCAATCTCAAGTTTACGAAAGTTCATTTGTTTTATCAAATTGCTTGGCAGAATTTCGGCCACTTGAGCCTAGTTACCACGCCCAGCGAAAAGTAGTGACATCGAAAACTACTGATCAATTGTCTAGCAAAATTGTTTGGGTGTGGACCGGAGAAGAGAACAGATCGAACTTTTGACAGCATATCCGGCTCCTGCCGTTCGACAATATGGTCTGGTGCAGAGGTGAAACACCGGAACAAACGTTCTCAAACTGAAACCCATCGTAGGCACCTGCAAAAAGGATTGTGTCGAGCTGCTGCAAATGTTACGACTTTGAGAAATGAGTATTTGTTACTTGATTTTGGAGCCCAAGTGGTCTAGAAACACGTCTCGTTTTAGCGTCCCTGGCTAGATAGAATCCAATCGAAGGTGGCAGCGCAGCGAAATTTGTGCGAAGTCTCAGAGTCCTTTGGTGACGGACGTTTGGTCCAATAACATGAAAAATGCATGCAAGAACTATTCCCCCGTGAGGAGTGTTCCAAATTCATTACCAGTGTGAAGCTCAAGCGTAGGCAAGCCAGCCTTTAGGCTGAGTGAACAGATCAACAGCCACCTGGTCATACACCAACAGTACCAAAAATTTTTGCAACAGAATCTCGAGAAAGCCTGTGTAGCAGATGATGCGGAAGAATATCATCAGTATGCTGTTGACCACTACGACAAACTCCACCGGGCCTTCCACCTTCATCATATCTCATCGGGCATTTTGAGCTCAAAATCATTCGGTTCTGGCGCAAAAGTGACTAAAAGTGGCCGAAATCGACAACTGGATTGCGAACAGTTTGCACTGCGGAGCTCCCCTCTCAGTGCTTGCAGATAACTGCTGTGTTGTGATTGGTCATTTGGACCCATTCGTGCTGTCTACCAATGAATCAATTTGCAGTCCTAGTAAGCGATCATTCGTCCTCTAGAAGATCACTTGCACTGTGTTCTCATTGGTAGATTTCGGGCTGCAGGTTATTGATTCGGCTATCCAACAGCCAGTCATCAGTAGTCATGTTTATTTGGAATATCACAAAGCCTGTCGGTTCATATCATTTTTATGTTTTCGAGCGGAATGGTTTCAAACTGCAGTACAACTGTGCAACGATTTCCCAGACAAAAATAACAACATATAGAGGAGTAAAGGATTAGTGCCACGGTTCCATCAGATTTTCCATCGATATAAAAATGGTTGCTGGTGGGCGCTACGAGAAATTTGTGGATTTTCACAATTCAGTAAAACATGATCGCCTCTCATTTGGGATTGGTGCTTGAAGGATCTAGGATCTTGCTAAAAGTGTCCCAAGAAAAATGTTTTTGATAGGCTAAAGAACAGATGAAGCGGCAAACTTAGTTTGGACCGCTACACTCGAACGCGTCATCCAAGGTATATTGAGTTCCATGGAAACTGTCTGATTGAGAGAAATATCAAAGAAGGGGATTTTGTACAGATGAAAATCTTGGAAGTTTGCAGGAGCGGAGTATAAGGGAGATCAACTATTGCTCAAAGATCGTCTTTTACCCGAAGGTCGATAGAATATCGGATGGAAGATTTGTTAAAGCAATCCAACAGGAAAGTTGTCGCCTTCCGGTACAAGTGCTCACTGTTGCTAGCTCGTTGTACGGAGTGATTGTCATCCGGGTATATCTAAAGCGAAGAAACCACAGAGGGTGTTAAGATGGGGGCGTAAGATATACTCACTCCGGGAAATGTGCTCATGCTTAAGACGAAACATACTTATCTTTCGTGAATCAGCTGATCAAATTCAGTCTCGTTACTGGAAGTTAGCATTCACAGTATCGAACCCCTGCGATGACTCAAGCATGACAGTATCTTTATACTGTGCTACTCCGAAAAACTCCTGGTTTATAAATCAGAAACTTCAGTGTGTTAGACGGATAAATAGCCCATCCCAAACCGGACGGATCCCATCTGAAGTCTACGGAGCGACCCGATTGTCCACCGTGACTCGCACCACAGATATGCACGGTAAGCTTACTGCAGCTTAACATTGAGATCTCTCAGTTGTAGGCTAATTTAGGGCAGGCTAAAACAATACACACATTGGAGTAATCACAGATGTGGTTGCTGAACCACAACTCTGTTGGCATCCAGCAAAAGGACCATGTGGCCCATGGCATTTTTCATCAAACTACTACCATCTAAAAGTAAGCTGCGCGCAGGCAGGAGTGAGATACCCCATGAAACGTTCCCCGTCGCCAGCCACCGAAATTGTAGGGATCACCAAACATGGTTGCGTAAAAGCCAAATAAAAGCCACAGCTGTTCAATTAGACAGTATAAGCTGATCAAAAAGCTGGAAAGTATTTCTAATTGGCCTCCAATGCCAAAATTCTGATGCAACAGAGTTATTTATTTAGAAAATCTTAACAACTGCAGGGGCTAAAACGGGCTCGCTAAAACTGTAGTCTTTTCCTGCGGACAATGGTGAGGCTTTCGCTACAGGAGATTTTAGCTATGGAAAAATACAACGTTCGCGCCCACTCACCATCACATCGACATCGGCGTTTGCGTTAATAAGAGCCGTGGCGAGTGAAGCGGTGTTGATCATTAGGACATTGTCTGAAACAGATTTGCAATGAACACTGGTTAGATAATTGCCGCGACAAAAGTTCTATTATGAGTTCAGTTATGAGTTGAGCAGGTTTTGAATGCATCTGAATGCACCACACGTATTCAGTCGAGTTCTCCGAGAACTATTCAGACACGTCAAATCAACGCGGCTCACCGAGTTACGAACTTTAATTCCGAATGCAGTTCAGCAACGCATGCAGTGAGTATTGCTCAGCAGTACCTAAACCATGCTTTATAATGTATCCCACAAAAAGAACTGTAAAATTTGTTATTACCAGAGTTCGCAAGATAGATACTGCAGGTGACCCGACCCCAGGAGTCGATCTCACTTTGTCACGATAAAATCTCTGTTTTTACCTGTAAACAAAGAGTCTTCCTGGACGTTGTTTTGAATCCGTAATTGGTTGTTCGGTTGGTACTTTAGTAGATTCCGTGTTTATGTCTGGATTACTGACTAAAGCAAATGGAGCTTGTTGAATGGATGACCTTGGCCAGTGCTGACCTTCAACTGTGAAATATTGATGTGATTGACCATCACGCATTGAACCAGATTCAGAGACGGTTTAAGCACTTTAGTTACTGTGTTTAAGGTTCCTCAGCGCCTCAGTCCATAAACGCAGGTGTTTTACAACCCAGTAAACTTTAGGTATCAAGAGACGTACACGAGGGATTCAGCTGAATTGATTCGAGTCCCATAACAAAAACATTGGTGTGCAAATGAGAGTATTTTGGAAATTCAATCCAGTTTGAGCTCAACCAGAATATAAGCTTGATAGAAACGAGTGGAATGAACCAAACTGATGAGTCCCAGCAAGGGCAAAACCGATCATGGGTTGTCAAAGGGTTTTCAGCAACATTATGAGTGGTGTATTAGCTGTAGAAGAATTAAAATTAACTGGGTACTGGAACCCAAAGATTCAACGACTTTCTGGCCCATCTATTCATAAGCTAGGGCCTTTCGTAACCGCTGTGAGAGGGGGGTTTTAAACAACACAAGATGTACCAGGAATACTGTTGTCTTTCAATTGGCTCAAGTGGTTAGAGTGCGGATTTGCTGATCGGAAGGTTCTCATCGACCTCTTCTCGACTTCCGCTGTCTAATCTTGAGCAACCTGGAAGTATCCCAGCCCTGATGCTTCCCTCTAGTGGTATGGAAGTTAGGCACCAAAAGGGTGCAACAGCTGAACGATGAAGTATTGTAACTACTGGTTATTAACTCTGACGGACTCGACAGCCTTCATCATACACCTGTGCTAGCCTAACAATTGCTCTCAGGGAACCACAGAGGCAGTTGAACATCAAGCAGATTTTGAAAGCAATAAAGGCTAAAAATTCATTCATACGATTTAAAAATGGAACTGAATGCGGAGAGTTCATTCAACTCCATCGTTTTCCATAAAGTTATCCGCTGGGAACGGCGCGTCTACTGTGATAAGGAAAAACTCACCGTCTGCCGTGCCGTGCATGAGAAGAACGCTTTTGGACCGAAAGTTCCTCGCATTTCTGGCTACCTGAGTTTGCTGGTCCAAGAAAACAAGCATAAATCAATATGAAAACAACAAGAATGGATGTTTAGAGGATTTTAACTAGTGCTGGATGACAGCGGGTGTTTGAGTAGACAAGATAAAAGACCAGATGTAACGAGCTGTCTTTCCTCGTTGCAACAAATAAAAATAGAAAAAGCACTTTTAAATAAATCAAACTTCCCTGTCTGCAAATGATTTCTGGCTCGTCGCTGCTAGACAATTTGGAGTCTAACTGGCAGAACTAGTCTTTTCCCGCCTAACGATCTTCGCTCATCCTCAACACTCAAAAGGTTGAGACACTACTCGATTTCGTAATATTCGGGGACTATTTATCCAGATCGAACTTGGGTGAATAATCTGGCCTTTAGCTGTTACCTAGACAGATACACACATACAGTCGTCTCTGAGATAATTCAACCACTAGAGCAGTGAACATTGTCTTTTCGAGAAATACACTCGTTTGCAAATCACTTTGATTTTCACGAGAGACTCAACTGAAACTCTCGTCCATATTATTCTACAACTGAATGTGCTGCACACACGCCGTCTCATGTTTCCGTTGGCACGATAATCGAGATATTGCAGTATATTTTCATAAAGGAAACTGCTCACAAGGTTGCTGAAGACCTTCATCAGCCCACGACCGGTTTCGCCCTTCTTGGGGCTCATCAGGTAGGCGCAGTCCCCGAGTTTCCGTCAACCTTACGTTCTACTTGGACCCAAACTGGACTGTTTTTGAGAAATACACTCATTTGCAAACCGATTTGGTTATCACGAGAGACTCAACTAAATCTCTTGTTTATGATATTCTACACCTGAATGATGAGCCCCAAGAAGGGAAAAACCGTTTGTGGGCTGTCGAAGAGTTTTCAGCAACCTTGTGAGTAGTTTCCTTTATGAAAGCATTGTGTTTTCTTCGAGAGGGATTCCGTAACAAGCTGATATCATTTTGTTGAGAACATGAAGGCATGTGATTTGAAGAACTCACCAGATATGCATCAGGATTGTCATTGATTCGACCCAAGTGTCGTTCAGTGTAGACAGTATCTTTAGTAGGGGTGGAGACAATAGAATCCTATCAATTTGTTACTGGGAATAAGGTGAAAACACAGACTTTGACCAGTAGACCCTTGTAACTTTTTTTAAAAAAATGTTTGGAAACCTACTGAGCACTCAACAAATCTAACATCAAATGTTCGTGCTTTTATTGGACTAAAGCGTTACAAATTAGCTCAGAGGAAGAGTAGTATACTAAGGTAAGTGCAATTTTCATCTGAATACTATACAGTCAGACGGCAAGTCAATATGCGACCACGTGATGTGGTGTTTGTGATTGGGGCATCCATAGTCTCTTTAAGAGGAAGTTAACCACATTGCCGTTCAGCCCAACGGTTGAATGTTCAACTGATGGCCGCAAGGTTGTGGGTTAGAGACTCTCTGAGTGAGATGCGCACTGTTGATGATTCTGGACCGCCTCCCGGCAAACAGAACCAAGGACTGTGTCTACAAAATCAAGCGTAACGACTGCACTAAGGTCTGTGTAGGACAGAAGGCCAGGGTGCTACACGTCAGAGTCGGGGAACATAGTAGAGAAATAAACAGGCTGCCGAGAAACGTAGATGAATATCAAGCGTTACTGGAAGACTCGGCCATTGCGGAACACGCACTGGACACGGGACACAAAATAGATTTTAAAAACGCTGAGGTTTTGAGGCCTTGGGTCACTCGAGCTAACACGTGTTGGTGTGCGATTATCAGAGGGAAGAGTAGTAATCGTATGGATTCCACTTGACCTCCTCCCTCCAACTAAATTGTTATAACATTCACATGCCCACGAAGATCAAGGAAAATTTACCAGTGGCACCCGAGGTGAATCATCCGGTGAAGCTCCCGGAAGAGAAATATTAAGGAACAAAAAGGGATCAGAACTAATTTGAAACCCCTCCAATCCACATTAGCCGATAAGAGCCGTTAATTGACACTCAACACTGATCTGGTGTGATAATCTGAAGAGGACTGACTTACTGATTGGTTCCCGTCTGCCTTATAACCTGGCCAATTTGGTGACCTGCTCACTTGGCCTGATGAAGCCTTTGTGTCAAAAGCGAAACGTTTCCCAAATAAAAACTACCGATTGTTTACCAAGCTCTTCTGAAAAGTGTTTTGAAGTGCTTCTAGGCTTTGCAGCACAGATTGGATTCACTGACAACATGAAATCTCTATTGAACATCTCAGCATATTGCTTTTACCTCGTTCCCCGGTAAACACACCGATCTACTGCGGGGAAACTTTAGTAAACCGGTAGGCAAACAAAAATATCATGTCCGCATTGTTTGCTTCCTTATACTCCGGCAAATAAACTAGAGATTTTCTGAAGGATTCACATGCTTCAGAAGCTCAAAGGACGAACCTTAGCTTTAATATAGCTTCATGCATATAATCGTGTTTTTTTCGATAAAAGTATTACCTACTAACACGGAGGTTCAGTTTTCTAACGACACTCGATATCTCTGATTATTTGGCAACTTGTACCGGTTCTAACACCCATGTTTTGTCCAATCAGATTCCGGTAAAGACAACCAATAAAACAGCGCCTTGAAGGTCATGAAAAAATAGGAGGGAAGGCTTTCAATAGAAGGGAAAATTGTGAATTTCAAAACTCACCATAATATTTGAAGTCGGTCACTGGGGCCACAGCAACACCACATCGGGTGAGATTGTTTTCCGGATGACCCAATAAATGAGCAACGGTAAATCCACCGTAGGACTGCGACAGAATGAGTAGAGTTAAAATCGATACAATTCAAATCATCCACATTGCATTTGTCTAGACTTTTTTCACTGGTAAAAATGGTTGCCTATCCAACTACCCCTAATCAAAATCACACACAGCTTGTAGACCTTTAGAGTTACAGGACATTCGCCTACCAGCTCCTGTGAACTTGCTGAGAAAATCCCATGACAAATCTCGTTATCACGTTTTTAGTTCGCAATCCTGAATCCGACATGGGAGTCCATTGGTTCTGAACTCCACTCATTGCACTGGTCAGTGATCCGTTTATGAGGACAGACACAGTTTTAACCTTGCAACCCTGGACGTAACTCGGTAAACTGACAGAATTGGTAAACTCATGAATGCTTGCGACTACGACTGGTGATCACTGCAGCCAACAACAAAACTAGGATGAACAAACATGTCAAACTAATCAGGTGTTGATCTAGCTAGCCTTATAATGGGATGGCCCAATGGTTAAGGCGCGAACCTACTGACCAGAAGGTAGGTGGTTCGAACCCAACCGCAGCATCTTGACTTCCCTTGCTGAGGCTTGGGCAAACTGACACTATCTCAGCCCTTGTGCTTTCTTCGGGTACCATAGAAGATTGGCACCAAAAGCGTGTCACAGCTGAACCGTCAGTCTTCATACGCTTCACTGGATATGCTCACTCTACTTTGAACAAGCAATCGTAGCAGCTCACAAACTAGTGTCCACGAGGGTCATATGGGGTCGTCATAAAGGCCTTCAGACGCGCTATCATCCCCTGCCGATGTGATTGTGAAAGCCAGTTGCAAAAATGGAAACATCATGAGTTTGTTAACGTTATTGTGATAATGTAAACGGTGAGATCGCTCCTTTAAAAAATTGCAACCAAAGTGGATGATGACGAGAAGTAGTCAACAAAAAATATGAGGATGGGGACGAAAACTGTTTTAAATCGGAGAGGAGAGTAATCAGTTTGAGAAAAATCTGTTCCACTGATCTGTCTAAACTTGTCCCACCCAAGTATTTTTAGCAAGACAATGGATACATTAATCAAACGGTCATTAAATCATGATCCAACGTGATGTTACTAGACAGAACAAGGACTTGGCGTGCGAACTATGTGGTCAAAAACTACACCGAAGCTTTGCTTCCTATGTCCACCATACTCCGACAGTTGATTTTTTGGAAGAGTGTCCAACAGGAAGAAAAGTTTGTTGAACAACAAAGCTTCTGTTCTTAACAACTTACATGCTTATTAAGGCGGTTGCTTTCTTAAGTAAGCTGACCATCTGTGTTTTTGATGTAAGCTACCTTCCAAAAGACAAGCTGAATCTGTTGCCAGAGGCCCTACAACCGCTTTTGAAGTTGGTCGATGACTCATCAAGGAAACTACTCACAAGGTTGCTGAAAACGCTTCGACTGCCCGCGACCAGTTTGGCCCTTCTTGGGGCTCATCAAGTAGGCGCAGTCCCCGAATTTCCGTCAACCTTATGTTCTACTTGAACCCAAATTGGACCGTTTTCGAGAACTACACTCGAAGAGTTCTCAGCAACCTTGTGAGTAGTTTCCTTTAAGAAAATATACTGCGATATCTCGAATATCGTGCCAGCTGAAACATGAGGCAGCCTTTGTGCGGCACATTCAGTTGTAGAATATCATAAACGAGAGATTCAGTTGAGTCACTCGTGAAAACCAAATAGATTTTAAGACTAGTGTATTGTTCCAGAAATCTTCGGAATCTGACCTCAATTTTCAAAACACACTGATTCTCTAATTTAAGTTCGATTCATAGAAACAGCGCCTACATGTCGAGGTGGTAGAAAAGCTGCTTTTGGTTTCCTAAACTATCAGTAAAGACATGTGACTAAAATGGAAATCTCCAGTTCATCATAAGACTGAAAATGTACGTGTAGTACGAGGGACCTAGTCCCCCACACTGTAACTTAAAACTACGACCACAGGAGTACACTTTGAGACGCTGGACCAATCAATATTAGATGACTCTGATTGCCAGAGGCGAGATCTAAGTCGAACGAGTTCTTCTGTTGGTCGCAGATGATTTAAGTGAACTACGGTGGACATTTCCACAGATCGATCAAGTTTGTTTTGGTTCGAGAGCGTTAACTTGGTAAACCGCACTTTGTGGGTTTTTTAAGCGTACATCTAAAATAAGTACACGTTTATTCAAGGGTTTCGTTACACCGCCTACACCAGATGTTTGTTAGTTTTTCAATGGGAAATAGAATGCGACCTTCCGTATTTCGTCAAATCCTCTCTTTTGGTTACGAAATACCTCGTGAATAGACCTAACGTTGTTCTGCTTTTCTGTCATTGTTACATTACGGTAGAGTTATCATTCCTAACGAATCGAATTTCTTGAACGATCCAGGCATCTTCAATGTTATTTACAAAACAAAATAACTGAAGAGTGTTTTTTGGCAAAAATTTGTCTTATTGTTCATCTTTGGTGACAGTCTATTGGCCTTCAACGGTAAACACCGAATGGTAATGAGATATGCTTGAATCGGAGTTCGTCACGTGATAAGTTACTTGAATCGACTGGTCAATGTTGGACTATTTCTCGCCGCTGAAGTCGACCTTGATACATGCGATAGAAATCAGTGCCCAGTATTCGTTCAATCTCTCTACTGACATGGTACGCCCAAATGCTGAGCTGTGAATACTGCTCACACAGTAAGGAGTATTTTGAAATTTCCCTTCCGTCCCCTACCCAGATCAGGCTGTATATGGCCGCCTCGTTACCCTCCGTGAGTTTTAATAAGCTGAGTTTTTGATCCTCCTATTCATTCAACAGTCTACGCACTTCATCGGAGGCCAACGTTCGTTAAGAATGTACGACCAGTAAAAATTTAAAGGAAAAAATGATCGATTTGAAAAAAGTGCTACTTCTAACCAGTAAGTGAGTGGTGCTCACAACGCCATGCGGATAATCACCGAATGATCGATTATACTCACCCAGCCATAAGCGCCAATCTGTGAAGTGTTCACATACGAATGATGCTTGATAAATGCCCTAACGCGGGAAGAAGACAAATCACATAATTAGCTCACGTTTAACACTAGGAAAATGTTTCCTATTGATATGGCAGGAAAAAAATTTCAGCGAGAATGAAACCCATTTCATCGGAGGCCCACGTTCGTTAAGAATGTACGACCAGTAAAAATTTAAAGGAAAAAATGATCGATTTGAAAAAAGTGCTACTTCTAACCAGTAAGTGAGTGGTGCTCACAACGCCATGCGGATAATCACCGAATGATCGATTATACTCACCCAGCCATAAGCGCCAATCTGTGAAGTGTTCACATACGAATGCTGCTTGATAAATGCCCTAACGCGGGAAGAAGACAAATCACATAATTAGCTCACGTTTAACACTAGGAAAATGTTCCTATTGATATGGCAGGAAATAAATTTCAGCGAGAAAAGCCTGAAACCCATGGAAAAGCCATGTTCCGAGAGTATTCTGGAGAGAAACACGTCTAAAACGGTTTCAGACGATCCTGGCGATCCTGGTAGGTTAGTCAGATAACGTCCGCAAAGACAGTGGTAAACCGTGAGATGCTACACGAGTCGGAACATAGTTTCTCAGTCACGATTCTGGCTGGTCCTATCTTGACAACAGCTAAGAGTAAACGCTTCAAAAACAATGAAGAGCCGGGCCATGAGATTCTATGATTTTTCGGTTGATAAGTGTTTCAGAGAGAGAACTAGTTCACAAGACAAGTGAGACTTTCGAACAAGGAATCGTCATTCGAGTAACCAGTCGATACATGGTTTCCGTAACTGAAGGATGAGCGGCGCCATATCCTGTTCAAGTGTAAGGTAACCACGCTGTTGTTCAGCCTTGCGGGTTCGAAACTTTCCGGGTTTCGTGGCAAGGCTACTTCTTATGATTTCCGACAAGGATGAAACAGTTGTACAATGTTTGTTGGCTCTTCGCCGAGGACTAGCAGGATGAGAGCTCAGTTAAAAACCTAACTGCCAGCTCCGATGCAACCTGCTCAGGACGAGAGTTAGAAGCGTTCGGCATGGTCATGGTGGCCAGACGATCTTATGTCGTGGC